AGCCCGACTGTCGCCTCTCGAATGCCCTCCGATGGTTCCAAGCAGGATAGGCAGAGCCTCAGTTACATCGTCCGCTCAGGTGTTGCAGGCGGGATCGCTGGCTGTGTCGTACGTCCCGTATGTCCTTCGCTCTAGTCTCTGTTTTGAACGGCGCCCCTTCAGGCAAAAACCGCCGTCGCCCCGCTGGACAGAGTCAAAATCCTCTTCCAGTCTTCCAACCCCGACTTCAGCAAGTACACTGGTGGGTATCCATGTCTTTTCTGCTGCACGCGACCTCCCCTCAAGCGTTATTTCTAGGTTCTTGGAGCGGCGCGTATAAAGCTGTATCCCAGATATACACAGAGAATGGCGTTCGCGGACTCCTCCAGGGCCACTCGGCCACCCTTCTCCGCATCTTCCCGTACGCGGCCATTAGATTCATGGCCTATGACCAGCTAGAACCAGTGCGTCGCTTCCCCATACAATACTCTCGCCTCTGTGCTCACACTAGTTCTCAGCTGTTCATGCCGACTCGCGAGAGTCAAACTAATGTGAGGCGCTTCACGGCTGGGGCTATTTCCGGTGCGTCCCTTTCGTGCCCATGTTGCCACTAGCGGTTCACACAGAGCAGGTATGACGTCCGTTTTTTTCACCTACCCCCTTGAGCTCGTCCGTGTCCGGATGGCGTACGCAACGCGAAGCTCCTCGTCCTCGGGCCCCGTCAAGCCCCCATCCTTCGTCTCCGCCATGCGTCAGATATACCGCGAAGGCCCCTCATTAGTCCCAGGTACCATATCAGACCGTACCAATCTTTTCATGCGCTTCCCCATCCTCAAGTTCTACCGCGGCTTCACGGCCACCATCACCGGCATGATCCCGTACGCCGGCACATCCTTCCTCACCTGGGGCTTTCTCCGCTCCCACTTCCTCCCCGTCTCCCCGGACGGCAAACGCACGAAGTCGACACCTGCAGCCGACCTGACGATTGGTGCCGTGGCAGGTGCAGTCTCCCAGACGGTCTCCTACCCGTTCGAAGTCGTCCGGCGGCGCATGCAAGTCGGCGGGCTCACCTCGCCCGACCGCTGGCTTCGCTGGGGCGAGACGGCGCACAAGATCTGGACGGCGCGGGGTCCGCGAGGGTTCTATGTAGGACTGACGATCGGGTATCTGAAGGTCGTGCCGATGACGGCGGTGAGCTTCACGGTCTGGCAGTGGGCACGGCGGGTACTAGACTTGTAGACGGCGGTGGGGCGGACGGTGATGGTTACAGGCTGGTACATTATATCCCCTCCTGGTCTGCACTGTACTTATAACCTATAAGTAGCCACATCCGAAGCACGCACTTTTCACGTGAAAGATTACTCGTCGGGTGCTTCCTAAAGTCGCGCGAGCCAGCGAAGCGCCAGTGTCTCTGCTTTTCCCGAACCACCAGCTACGACGTCCGATGCATCAATCTTCTGGGTCATACAAGTTTCTTTGCCGACTCTAGGGCGCCGCGTGATCATAATATAGCAGTAACGGCCAAGGCCCTGCCATTGGATTATGGGACGGCGTGAGTTGGACCTTGGTCGTAGTACGTCCTTGCGTTCTGGACCCACATGATGCGAACTCTGACCATGTTCGCAGCGTCGCCGGTCGGACCCCATGCCGAAGCACATTCCCCGAGGAAGCTGGATATATGTGCGCCATAAGTTGCTTCCGCTAGCCAGTGCCAGGAGGTTCCTCCAGCGGTGCCAGCGAACAATCACAGACTTTCCGCGCTTGCGCGCTCTCATTTATAGCTCGGGGCCCAGCCACCACTGCGCTCAGATAATTGTAACATAGTCTGCGCGGATGGAATGATGTCCGACACCGGTTTGAGAAAAAAAGTACCACTGTAGGCGTCGGAGGTGCGTCGGATCGAGTAATAACCATTGCCGTTGAGTTTGTTGACAAGCCTTGCGCATCACCAGACTCGATAACATGGTCGCTTGGATCTTCGGCGGCACGATTTTGATCCTCGAGCCATGCGCTGCGCATTCTGACAGGTTCGACCCGCTACTTCCATTAAGCAGACAAAGACGCGCTAACTCACGTGGTACATGTTCTGCAGTACGAACTCCTTCTGAAGGCCCGTGTCGTTCCCTGATATTGGGTTGCTGAAGCTCGTCGTGCCTATCACGGTGGGGTCCGGCAGGGCCTCGCCCAAACCGCAAGATGATCATGAGTCCGCGTTTTCGGAAGCTCCGCCGTGCGTGAAGCTCGTTCTTGCAGCGTTATCGAAACTAACCGAAATGAAAGATAGCGGATATTGGACATGGATTAAGAGTGTCAGGCTGATGAAGACAAATATCAATCCCGCGATATTACGACACGGCACAGAGGCACAAGGGTCGTCGGGGATTTGCAGCTCACGCGCTCGAACGTACGAACGATGTACATTGACAGCTGCTCGGATATGCCCACGTCATGGCGCGCATGTGGAGCAAGCCGACTCTCTTTCCGATCAATATGCTTCCGCAGTCTCATTCGCAATGATGAGACTGCAGATCAAGTCCTCGACGATTGGTTCCTGTGGTTTGTGTCCACCTCGTGTTCTCCTCGCTATTACCTTGTGAGCCCTGCACCCCCGGTATCATCGACTCAAAAACCTGAACTGTTCTATTGACACTGACGTCGCTCTTCTGCCATGAACCATCGTCGACCTATGTTCCCCATCCCCACTACTGCCTCTCCCATTCCGCTTTCGGCGGAATTTCGGCCGTTTTCGACTCCAGATCCTCAACCAAGCCACTCTACCTGTGGCTTGGCAAGCACACATACCGCTCTCGCCTCGTCGTCTCTGCCAGCTCCCAAAAGCTCCGACAACACCTTCCGCCATATTCCGATCCCCGCTCACTGGACAGCCACCCTCAACTCTGGAGAGCCTTCCTTCTGCACTTCCGCATTCACAGTCCTCTGCATGCTCGCATACGGACACACCACACTGATGCACTGGTGGACGGCCACATGCAGCGGCGACGAAGTTCTCGCCCGCGACAACGAGCAAATAATCAGCCGGCTCACTATAACATCCGTCGTGGTGCGTGCCCACTTCCCTCCGTTTTCGCACTAGTATCTACTTAGTCCGCTGTCTGATGGACGGATGCAGGCGGGCCTCCTTCTCTCTTCGACAGCAGCGCTCATCACAACAGAGCCTCCGCGCGCGGACCTCTTGGACTACACCCAGCGTGGCCCATACCTGCTCTTGTGGGCATCGTTCGGGATGACACTCGGCGGGATGATCCTATCCTCGACGAACATCTACGCACTCTCAACGTACAACTGTGTCTGGTTCCGCACGGTACGTCCTCTTTTTCACGTACATTCTTTACACTCAGTGCGCGATGGTATGTGTAACATCACGCTTGACTCCGGGCGGAGCAGGTGATCATGTCCACGCGGGCGCGGGTGTGGTGTACGCTTGTCCTGTTCGCCTACCCGTCCTTCGCGGTGGGTATTGGGGCGGCGCTTTGTGTCGCAGGTAAGTGCCCTCAAGTCTCGGGATCCTCGGACGAGCCATGGTGCTGAGCAAATGATTGCGCAGGCATCCTCATATCGGCGTGGACCTCTCAAGACATGCTGGTAGTCGCCCTGTCTTTCCCTTTGCTGATCCTTCCTGTATCCATGAGCATCGTGTACTGGTCAACAGTGCGTGAGCCTGTGGGAGGGAGGAAAGACCCTTTGCATGACATTCGACAGTGCCAGGATTCGGTCCTGAGTTAGTAGGGTCACTAGTACTATAGCTCCGAGTCATGTATTCCCCTTTTTCGGCGGATCCGTTGCTCCTAGAGATTGGACCAGTAGCACAGTCCTCGATACGTTCTATGCAAACATCCAGCCAGTATATATATACATGACTGCACCATAAACCCGATTCGTTTTGTCCGCATTGACGCTCGAAGCTCAAACTCTGTGGGCGTCTCGCAGCGCGCGCACTTTGCGTCCGACCTCCGTGCAACGGTGCACCATCTAGCTTGTTTGACTCCCCGTCCTCTCTGTCCACTTCTCCAGATATCTCTCTCACCATCCTCCTTTATACCGCCCTTGGCATCACCTCCGAGAACACACTCAATCAAACACAGAAGGTCCCAGGCTATGGAACCTGGCTAGCCCACGCTCGCGGCTCGGGATCGTCCGCTGGTATGTCATGCCGGTCGCCATGCAGAATGCCCTCCTCCCCCTTCATCAAGTCTCTTCCGTTGCATTATGGGAGCTCGGGAGCTCGGCGAGGTGCGAGGGATGTCCATTTTGCGTTCATGGTATGTCGTTCTCGTGTGTTTCGAGGCCTTTGCCACTCACCAATGTGTCCAGGTGCAAGTAATCCAGAGCATGCTCAAGTCTCGGAACAGTACCCCATTTGGGAGGAAACTCGCCAGTTGTACGCACCTCTGCGTGCGCACTAAGGCATGAGACGAGCTGTAGAGGACAGTGTTTGTGTGCACAGTGTTGTGCGTCCTTCTTTCACCGACTCTAGTAGTCTATGCTGACCCTCTTCGCCCAGGGCACGATAATCCACGAGCGCATCGCAACCTACAGCGTCGTCCGCGCGCTCGAGCCCGAGTCGGGGGCTCGGATCTGACCGCGTTCAAGCTCCCGCCGGAGGTCATCGATGGAATTTCCGAGCCCGTGGTGCGGCGGTACATGGACGCCACGCAGCGGCTCAGCGCAAGCCCGGCGCAGGGTTTCGAATCCCTCCCGTTCTCGATGAGCGTCATTTGTGTGGACATGAAGGGGCCAGAGCTCATCGACCTGTCTTTCGTCGATCTTCCTGGTGAGTGCCCTTCATTGTTCTCCCCGATTACGCATTCACACGCAAGATGAACGAATTGTGCAGAACGCGGATCCTGACATCGTCGTGCGTCTCGCTATATATTGCACGCATCGTACCTTCCTCACCCAGTGTGCGCCGTCAGATGACATCGAAAACCAAAAGGCCGCCCACATCTCCAAGCTCACTGACTCGCAAGGGTTGCGCACGATTGGCAAGTGTCTCCATCTCGATCTTCTCGCCATCGGCCGAAGCGTGGTGCGAGCCCGACCGAGCTCCTCAAGGAGGGCCTCGACGGCGCGGTGCTGCTCACGAAGCGGCCAAGCCCGAAGCGACAGGGCCGGGACGGCGCGAACGTGTCCCCGCCTGGCCCGGTTGCGTCGGGGTATCCTCCAGCATGAGTATCACCACGTTTTCGGGGGATGGTACTGTATTGGTACGACTATCGTCCATCCCGCCGTTCGCCCTTGTCCCCGTCTTGATATGTATGATCCCGCATCGCCGCGTGGCTGTCGCCCTCTCTGGTCCCTCTCTTGACTGCCGGTCTGTTATCGCCGTCCACTCGCATCGCTACTGCATTCATTCTTCTGCAGTCCTCGTCACTATCCACATCTCCGTCTCAGCCCCTGCTCCCGCACTTCGCCCCCATTGCTCGCGTGCGGCGCTGGGCTCCAGCCTCGTACTGTATAGCCCTGTGTATGTCTCAGTACCGCGTACTAGGTGCAGTGCGTCTGCTTAGAGCGCTCGCGAGCTGCGCCTTTCGAAGTGACGGTGCTGCCGTCCGTTGATCGCAAGTGCCGTTGATGCGCAGCCAGCGGTGGATGGGCCGTTCGCACACACGACAACTGAAAAGAGGCAGACTCAGGTTCAACGCGCGGACACCCGCGCACCCAACGACTCATAGCTGAGCGGCAGGATGTCCGCACATCCAACAATATACAGTTATGTGTTCAATGCGCGGACACCCGCAAGCCCAACAATGTATGATGTATGCTGAGTAAGTATTCAACGTGCGGATGCCCGCGCACTCAGCGCATATGTACGGCTCAGCGTTCGACGCGCGGACATCCGCACATGGAGACAGATGCCTCCGAGAAGGGAGTGTGGGGAGTCCGAACCGGTACAGCGTTGTGCAATCATCTTGTCCAAAGCGCCAACGAGGCGACGCGCGTGCCCGAAAACTCGAAATTAATTGAAAACCCCCCAAAAATCGCCCTGCGCCCACGCACCTCCTCATCCTCTTTCCCCTTCATTCCCTACACCCCCAACACCCTCGGCTGGCCGTAAAATTGTGGGCAGGCCCACCTAGGTTGGTTCTGGCGGTTTTTTCGCTCTCTAATACGGCTGACTGACACCGGGCACTGGGAGCAGTTCTCTGGTCACGCTAATACGTTCTCTGGGGCATCCGGTCCGAACAGTTCACGACAAAACCGTCAAACTGTGATAAGAGAGGCCTTTTTTTTAGGTCCGGAGGGTAACAACTTCATGAGGGGTAGAAGTAGCGCCCACCCAAAAGGGCGCGAACCATCGCGCACATGGACTGTGGGTGCCTCACACAGCATAAGAGAGGCCTTTTTTTTGGTCCGGAGGGTAAGAGCTGCATGAGGGGTAGAACTAGCGCCCACCCAAAAGGGCGCGAACCATCGCGCACATGGACTGTGGGTGCCTCACACAGCATAGTTGCCATGTGCGCGATGGTGCGCGCACATCTGTAGACAGTGTCTGCGATCCATCGCGCACATGGAGCATAGTTGTAATGTGTGCGAACCATCGCACACATGGTGGAGTGTACTAGGGCGTAATGTGCGCGATGGTTCGCACACATCATCATCGTAGACAGTGTCTCAAATGTCTGCGATCTATCGCGCACATGATGGAGTGTAGGGTGTAATGTGCGCGATGAATCGCACAGTGTCATGTACGTAATGGGAGCAAGTCCCCCAGCAAGAGGGATCTTTTACACAAATTCCTCACAGGTAGATGCAAGCCAGTATGGCTTAGTTGCTTAGGTGGCTGGGTGTCTCTGTTGTGATCGATGACACTCGCAGTTATGCATGGAAATGGCTCGCGTCGCATTGACAATGTCATTTATTTATTCGTCCTCTTCGTCTTCCTCATCTGACCCCTCTGCCATCTCCCAATCTGGGTCAGAGAGGGAATCATCGGAGACCACACTCTCCTCCTCCTCCTCCTCCTCCTCCTCGGCAGTGCCTTCGCCGTCCGAGGACCCCACATCACCTTCACTCTCCTGCGGAGAGCTGGTGTCGGGTGGCCAGGTCGTTCTTCTGGCAAGCCTGACTTCGAGTTCCTGTACCGCTCCAGTGAGCGGGTTGGTGAGAGAGCCTCTACGAAATGCTGGGGGAAGTGGTTCAGACATGGAGACAGGTCGGACGAGTGGGCAGTGGTACTCACAGCCATTCAATATAGTAGCTTCAGTGACGTTGACGATGCCGTTGCCGAGGATGTAACCTTTGAGATGGAGGAGCGTGTTTACGACAAATAAGGAGCGAGTTTCCTGAAAGACGTTAGTTGGTGGGGCAAAGAGAGGATGACGAGTGATGTGAGAACTCACCTCATCCAAGTCGGAGAGGTCAAGTAGGATTGGGTCGGGAAAGGGCCATGATTGATTGATGGTGGCGGTTTGCGCGACGAGATCGGACTACGAGGAGAATATGAGTGCCTCGTGACGGGGTGAGATCATTATTATAATCTGACAGTACGTACGGTTCTGACAACGCATGTGACGTCGATGTCGCAGGCGGCGTAATTCAAGAACTGAGCGGACATGGGTGGTAGAGGTGTGAAGGAAAGAAAGGAATGCTGTTCGGGGAGTGGAGATGGGCTTATGTATGTGGAGAGTGGGAGAAGGAACGGCAGTATGTGGAATTGCGCACGGACCTGTTACGAGAAAAGAGGGACGTGTGTTGTCTGCGGGATGGTAGAGTGCTTCGTAGTTGGCGCAAGCTCGGGTACTGATTTGGACAGCACACCGTCTGTTTCTGCGGCGGAGGATTAACGGTAATATGACAGCTTACAATGCTCACGAACCATCGCGCGGGTGGGTTCCAATGTGCACGAACCTTCGCGCGGGTGAGTTCCAATGTGCACGAACCTTCGCGCGGGTGAGTTCCAATGTGCACGAACCATCGCGCGGGTGAGTTCCAATGTGCCCATCACCTCACGTGCCATCAAGTGGCCTCCAATGAGCGCGATCCGTCGCGCACATGAAGAACTCCCTGTCAATGGAGCTTCCGCGTCGTGTGGCGCAATATTGCGCATCGAAGATCTCCTCTTTTTGGCAATACCATTCCTGTGCATCGTCCCGGAGATGATCGATGGATGCACCATAGGTGACGCGTCCGCGAACACACGTCTCTCCGCCTCTCCCCGTCATCTCTGGACACCGAGAAGCACCCCACAATTCTGGTTTGATTTCTCTATATCTTCATTTCTTCCATCACTCCCAAATAACACCAAAAAATGCCCCCCAAGAAGGTGCGTACAAGGCCGGCCGTCTGTTGACACACTGCGTACTGATTTACGACTGCTGCAGAAACAACAAGTGGCCGAGTCCGAGGTGAGCCCGAGCGGACGCGTGGTGATATTGGTGAGTCGTCAATTTGACGGCCGGTCTCTTGCATAGGATGGCGCCTCAACAGCGTCGGGAAGTGGGACGAAGAAGCGGACGCGCAAGGAGGCGAGCGAGCCCAAGCAGCGCAAGGAGCCCAAGGAGCCCAAGGCCGACAAGGGGCCGTCTCGAGCAAAGAAGATGAAGGACGAGGTCGACGTCGAGGCGGCCGGTCGCATGTTGCAGCTGTCGCAAACGCCGAGCACGAGCGTAGCGAGCGCGACGAAGACCGGGTCCAGCCAGACTGACGCGAAGCAGGAGTCGGACTCCGCACAGCAGGCCGAGGCCGACAACGCCTTCCTCGGGTTCGGGCGAGTCGACTTCTGCAGCCAGGAGAAGATGCTGTGGACGTCGGGGTCGACGAACAACCGCGCGCTGAACATGGTCCACGTCGGCAACATCGCTGAGAACCTCGTTCTCGAGGGGGTCTTGGACGACGACCCCACCCGCATGTTGATCTTCGAGATCTACCCGGAGCATCTCGACGAGAACACCGTCTTGGCGAAGACCGCGGACGATCCGGCGAGCTTTCCGCTCGTCAAGTTGAGCGAGCAGGGCAAGAGCTTCTCGCACCTCTTGCTCGCGGGAAACCATCGGCTGCACGCACTGCTGGATCGCCAGAAGAAGGACGCCGCGATCCTCAAGGCGCAGATCCGCCGGCTGAAGGAGCTCGAGATCTCTGTCGGTCTGACCGAGGAAGGGCAGACGACGCTGCCCCAGCTCCCGGAGCATGAGCCGATCGCGGACCTGAAGCGGGAGATCGCGGCCACGGAAGACCGGATCGAGCACATGAGGTTCTGGAGGTGCAAGTTTTATCACTCTGGTGAGCATGGGTGGGTAGCTGTCAGGGTGACTTTGGCTGACGGCTGGCGCAGGGAAGCTCACGGATCGGGCGCGTCGTCACCTCGCGCGGAACATCACGCAGCACATCCGCGTTCAGACCTAGGGCTAGGGACCGGCGCGCGCAGCGCTCCGCGGGGGGTCGCGCGCGCGCGCGCACGTCCCGTCCCCCGCCGTCCCGGCGTGACCCTCCGTGACCCTCCTCCGAACGTGGTCCGGGCCTTCGTGGACCGCGGTCCCCCCCCGCGCGCGCGCGTCCTTTAGAGGCGCGGCGCTCTCTGCGTCTCTCTCTCTTTGGGAGCCTTAGCCGCCCCGTGGGAAAAGCGCGCGTGCCGTCGCTCGCCGCCGCCCTCGGCGCGCGCGCGCGCTTCCCACGCGCGTCCCGCAGGTCGCCGCGCGCGACGGCCCTCGACGGTTCAGGAGCGGCGGCGTCCACGACCACGAGGGGTTCCCCCCCCTCGCGCGCGCGAGCCCACCGCGTCTCTCTCTCTCCGTCGGCTGCCGCGATTCACGCGTCCCCCCCGCCCTTCTTCTTCCGTGGCGAGAGACGCCGACGCGGGCGCTCAAATAAGCGCCCGGGGGGGGGAGGGGGGGGGGGACTCGTGGGATCCCGTCTCACGGTCTTCGCTCTTTCCCCTCGTGCCTGCTCAGAGGGGTTCCGGGCTCCCGCCGGCTTCGCGGAGGCAGAAGCCCGCGTGGGCGGCGTACGACCGACCGAGCGCCCAGAGTCGGGGGGGTTCGAGTCGAGAAACCGGGGAGTCGCCGGTAGAGAGGGGCCAACTTTTGGGGGCGCCTCCCTGAACCTGGCGCGCGTCGTCGTCCACACAGACGCAGGCGAGAGAGAGATCGCGCCTCGGCGTTTCTGCGCGACACGGCGGCACGGGGGGCTGGCGCGTAGCAGGGGGTGACCCCCGGGTCTCCCGACGCTTACCCTGACCCCCTACCCTCGGGGGGGGGGGGGGGGGGGGGGGGGTCACGACCCTCGTATACGAGGGTCAGGGTTTTTTCGTAGAGGGTCACCAGGGCGCTCGAGGGTCGAGGGTTCGACGAGGGTAGCGAGTGTCGTCCCACTCTTACTGCATCAGCACCAGCACGTGGCCGCAACGACGACGAGCTCCCAACCACCCTCCAGATCGTCCGACGCGTCATCTCGAAGGGCGACCCGAGAGGTCGGTGTCTCGAACGAGTCCGAGCTCGAAGCGCCCGGATAGACGGGTGGCAGACAAACCGTCGCGGACGTGTCCGCCCCCTTTGCTGAAAATGCGTTCAACGTCGACTGTGGGAGCACCCTCGACCGTAAGCGAGCCGCCAGAGGTTCGAGACACCACGATGTAACCACACACCAGGGATCGTAAGGTAAGAGAGCGCCGTGCGTGAGAGATGGGGATACACCTTCACGGCGGCGATTCCCACCACCAACTGGAGGGGATCGTCAGCGTGTACTCTGGTAGACGCCGCAAGATAGCGATCGATCTCGCTCGGCCCCCCCTGCCAGCCGGACGCTTCTGTTGTGGAATGCAGGGAGCTGAGCGAATGGATTCTGTTGCGCGCCGCATTTGGCCGCGCATGCCACGTACATAAACCGTAAGACAGGAGTCAAGTGCTGGTTCACCCGTGCCTTTCTTACGGCGTGGCTGGCTTCGGGGGGCCCGATCGTCGTGCTCGATGTCCCTCTGCGCCATAGCTCTGCGGTAAGGCTGTTTGCAGGTCCAGCTCACTTGGCGGATCATGAGCCGATTATCCGGAGCCGTGAGCCGGGGATCATGAGCCGGGCGGCTCCGGATCGAGGGTGCTGAAATTTGGCGGATCTACGGCTCGATCCACGGATTATCCGCAGATTCTTGAGTGATAGCTCATATTTGTATTTACGTACTACAAACCCTATGCTGTTCGATAGCCATTTGAAGCATCTTTCTAACGATATTATTCTTGTGTGATTTGGCCAAGAATTGACCGAGTAATAGACAAAACATGGCCTATGTTCACTTCGAGAGCGTTTGGCGCCCGCGTCTGGCGTCTGGATGCGGGAATCCGTCCCGATCGGGCTATGTTCGGATTCGAACGTGGCGTCTCGCGCGCGTTCTCGCCCGTCCTCCTCTCCCTCCAGCCCCTCACGCACTCCCTCCGTCCACGCAGCGACATCGCGCGCGCGCGCGCGAGGCTGTTCTCAGGCATGGGGGGGGGGGGGGGGGGGGGGGGGGTCTTCATGGGGCCGCGGTGAGCTCCCGCGACCCCGATCTCATTTGGTGAGTCCTCACCGCCCCCTATGCTCCCCGCGTCGCCTCCCCCTTCCAGGTTCCGTCCGCGCTCTCCTCCGACCTCGCGCCCTCCACCCTCCACGTCCTCCGCGCTCCCCCGACCTCGCGCCCGCGCCCTCCGACCTCGCGCCCGCGCCCTCCTCTCCACCACGCCCTCGCCGCCTCATCCCTCGCCCGCGTCACCATCGCCCTCGCCCCACAAGCCCACAAGCCCATAAGCCCCGCGTCGCCCACGGCGCTCGCTGCCCCGAGTCGTCCACCACACCCTCACTCACCCTCGCCTCCGCGCCGCCCTCGTCTGCGCCGCCTTCGGTCGCCCCCGCGTCTCCCGCTGCGCCCTTGACCGTCTCACCGTCGCCCCCCTCGCGTCATCTCGCGCGCGCGGCCGTTCTGTGGGGTCGCGGTGGGCTCCCGCGGCCCCGATCTCCTCTGGTGAGTTCCCCCCGCCCCCACTGCTCTGCGCATTGCCTCCCCCTACCAGGTTCCGGCCGTGCCAACTACGCCTTGGCCGTCTCGCGCTCTCTCGCTCATCCGCGTCGCGCTTGTCCACCTCGCCACCTCGCCCCGGCCCGTCTCGCCCCCTCGTCGCCCCGCGTCGCCCTTTCCTCGTCCACCTCGCGCTCCTGGCGCCGTCCACCCTTGCACCCTCCGCTCTTCGCGTCGTCCGCCATGGCGCCGTCCACCCTCCTACCTCGCGTTATCCACGTCGTCCGCCCTTGCGCCCACCTTGCCCACTTCACCTCACCTGTCTCGCCCCTCTCTCTGCCTCGGTGTAGGAGTCCCGCGCGCGCGGGCACTCTGAAGCACGCGCGTGCGCGACAGAACACGGTCACGTGTCGTCCGAGCGGCCAGAAGTCACCGAGCACACTTGGTGAAGAAGTAGTACCTGCACATGTATAAAAGTAGCACGCACACACGAAGAATGTCAGTTCCTTTCCCCCACACTCACTCGGTTTCTGTCGTGTCCGCTGCCCGTTCTCCCCTGCGCATCCGTCTTATCCGTGCCCGTGTAACCGTCGTATCCGTCGTATCCGTCTTTCCGTTTATCCGTCGTATCAGCCAACGCGCGTCCGTCGCGCTCAGTCTAGTCGCGTTCAACGCGAACATTTCTACAGGGTCTGAAGACTACGCGAAGGGATCCCCACAATTGGTGACCACCGCAGGGGGGCAACCTCGTCTCTCTCGTCCCCGTCCGGACTCGTTCTACTCCAACACTTAGTCAACATGCCTTTGGCGAGCTCAAGCGGCAACCCTTCAGTAGAACGGGGAACATTCGCGCCTGCAAATACCAGGCCCACAACACGGGCGAGCGCGGTAAGATCAAACTTGAACATCCCGACGGCCCCGGGCCGACGATCGTCACGACTCGCCGCCAAACCAACTCCACCGCTGCCATTACCGCCGAACAGCCGAGGCGCACCACAGCGATTGAGCACACGTCCGGAGAACCGAACGAATCAAGCACGCGCGGAGGATACTTCAACTGCTCGCCAGAGAGTGTTGCGCGCATCGACTCCTCTCTCTCCTCCCCCGCTATCGCCCTTAACCCGTTCGCCAACTTCCTCATCGCCGACTCGAACTCATACGCCACCTCCGCTGCGCACGCAACCAAGCATGTCTACACCTGCGACGAAGATGCCCCCGCCCCGCGCCAAAACCGCCCCCCGGTTCAAAGGCCGCAACGTCAAGGACTTCCTTTTCGAGCTGGAAACCATCGCAGACAGTGTCGGTGCGAAGCGCGAAGACCTCCCCAAGTGTGTACTCTCGTACTGTGAGTCGGACATCCGCAACCGTCTTGCCGGCGAGCCCGCCTTCAAGGGGACCGACTGGGCAGCGGCCAAAGCTCTCCTGTTCTCTATCTTCCGTTTTCGCGACTCTGCCACGCGGTACCCACCTCAACGTCTCCGGTCGTTCGCAGCCAAGAGCCGGAAGAATCAAACCGTCGACTCGGAGGAAGCCCTCAGCGAATACCGCCTCTCGTTCATGAAGTACAGCGGGACGTTGGTTGAAGAGAGTCTCCTCGAACAGAAAGAGCACGACTACCTGTTCTTCATCGGCCTTCCTGACTCGCTCCGCAGCTCGATCGGGTCAACGCTGAAGTCAGTCGTCCTCACTCCACCTGTACCTCACGTTATCACAATCAATTGATCTGTGATCACCCCCCCGGGGTGATTCCCTTTCCGGTAACTGCGAACGGCTCTAAGCCTGCAAACCGTAGAGCCTCTACGGAAAACGATCAAGATACCTTGTTGGGAAACATTAGAACGGGGCGCATGCCCAAGTCCCCCGCCCCCCTTCCCCGACGTCCCCGAGGGCCCGGCCCAGCCCTCCTCCGCGCTTCTCCGATGCACGTGAACGGATCCCGCGCCGCGCCCCCTGATGGCCGCCTGGTCACCGCCTTCCGCCGTGCCGCCCGCCTTTGATGGCCGCCCTCTCCCCCCTGCTCGCCGTCCCCGACGACGAGCTCGCTGTTCGCGCTCTCCCTCCTGTTCCCCTCCCCCGATTCACGCCGTTCTTTTTTGTATGTACTTGTATTACTAATGCGCATCTATATACATAACTCGCCCTTCTGAGCCGTGCTCTGTGATGCCTCCACCGCCCACTGCCCCCCGCCACTGCCCGCCGCCCCCGCATATGGGGAGGGCGGGACCTTATGTCAGCATACTCAACGCCTGGGCGGCGGGCAGAACTCTGATGGCGCGGGCGCCGCGTGGACAGGCACCGCGGCAACGGTTGATGCAGCGCGCGAGGCCCGCGCCATCAGCGCGAGGTCCGCGCCATCAGCGCGAGGCTGCCGGCGCCGGCGCCTCAGACTCAACGCCTCCTTTTGATGGCAGTCAAGGCCATC